AGATCTGACTCCTCTGACCTAGGGTCACCTGCAATCATGTGCACACAGACACAGATGCATACACAGAGCCTTAAAAAAAATAAAAGCAAACCTAAAATGAAAAGAAAAACAAGGACGACAAGATAAAGATTTTCCTCTGACCTCTGCATATGTGTGTGCGAGCGCATGTACACACACAGACACACACACACAGACACACACACACACACGTGTTTTTCTGCACTTTATGTGCTTGTCCGCTACCTGTGGCATGCCCTTCTTAAGTGGAAAAGGTTCCGGGATGTTTGGTTTTCTGTAGAGCAAACACATTGGATGGAATGCGTTGCCAGACTAAGGGAATGAAGATCTGTGATTCTCAGGAACCCACCCAAAGTGAGGTCAGATATCCAAGGCTGCCAAATAGGACAGCCCGGTAGGAGCTCAAAGCAGGACAACACCAAGCTCCAAAGCCTGAACACACAGCAGAGCTCAATAAATACTTGTCAAGTAAGCAAATTCCTTGGGCAGGGCAGCTTTCATGGCAACAAACAGTGTTCCTTGTCTCTCCCTTTCTAGAGATCCCAGGCAAGCTAAGTCCTCTCTCCCTCCCTCCAGTAGGGCACTCTGCTCCAGCTCACAGCTTTGTTTGCTGTGTCTTATTCTTTCTGGTGGAAACACAATGATGAACTCTGGGAAATACCCTGCTCTCGTCAGTACTGTTTACGAATTTTGCACCCCCCCTTCCCTGGTCTCCAACTGTACTCCCCACTATTGGCATTCCTCTGTGCCCTGCCAATTTAACAGATGCTCTCAGAGCCCTGGTGTGACGAGGATTGACCCGCCCATACCTCTCTGGGCATTTCTGCCATTTCTGCCCATGCGGACAGTTGTCTGGAGCTCATCTTTACCTGGGAAGGCAACTGTCCTCTCCGTATGTTTTTGTTTTTTTTGAAACTGCATCCATTCTGCCTTGCCTCCACAATGTTTGTCTTCTGTTTCTCCAAGTAAGTGATCGGCTGGCCAAGGCTGAAAGCCTTCCTTTGAACTTAGCCTGACTCATCTCCAAACACAAACTGTTCTCTGAGGCACAGACACTGGACCAAACACAGACGTGTCCATCTACCTGTGTGTGTGTGTGTGTGTGTGTGTGTGTGTGTGTGTGTGTGTGTGGTATAGTCAAGTCAAGTGATAACCTCAGGTATTTTTATTTTTTTGGAGACAGGGTGTCTCAATGAATGGCCTGGAGCTTATGGACTGGGCTAGACTAACTGGCTAGAGAGAGCCTCAGGGATGCCCTGTGTCTTGCACTCCTACACTGGTATTACAAATCCTTGCTACTACCCAGCTTTCTTACAAGGGTTCTGTAAACTCAGGTTTTCGTGTTGGCACAGCAAGCATTTTACCCACCCAGCTGTCTCTCTAACCCTGCTCTACTCTTTCTGTTGATGTTCAAAAGTTTCCTATCACCTGGCTGGCCATGAATGGACTAGGATGATGGACAGCCAGGCGCTGTGGTTAGACATGTGGGAGGAAACAGCCACCTCTATTTCCTGCACTGGACGAGCTTGGCAGAATGCCAGCTGTTTCCTAACCTGGCTCTATCCTGTGTTAGATCTTGGATGAAAAGCCTAATCACTTTCTTTTCCCAAAACGTTCCAGGGGATGGAGAGATGGCTCACCCAGTAAAGTGTTCTTCATGCAAACATGAGGATCTGAGTTCCAGCCCCGACTCATAAAAAGCGGGGTTAAGTGGTGTGCATCTCTTACCTCAACACTGGTGAGGCAGAGGTAACCAGGTCCCCAAGGTCACTGCCCAGTAAGTCTAGCAATTGGTGAACTCCAGGGTCAATGAGACAGTGTCTCAAAAAATATGGGTAGAGAGGAATTGAGGAAGATTTCTCTCTCACACACACACCAAGAAATTTTTGAGAAATTACTCAAAATTGCAGGCAAGGGGAGATTTATCTGTGGTGTTCCCCCATGATCATCCTGTGAACAACCTCATCAGCTTTAATTATATCTTAACTGGGGCTGACCAGGTGGCTTTGTGGTTTAAGAGCACTGGTTGCTCTTCCAGAGAGGTCCTAAATTCAATTTCCAGCACGTACATGGCAGCTCACAACTGTCTATAACTCCAGTTCCAGGAGATCTCACATCAAGGCACATAAAATAAAGTTAAATAAATTATTTTTTAAAGGGGTATCTAAACCTCTCCACAATCATGGACCCTCTTCTAACAAGATTACATTGGTTTCTTCCCTGAGGGCTTTCAGGATAGGAGGGTTTCCTTGAACAAAGGGATGGGCTGGGAGCCTCTGCAAGTTCCCAGGAAAGACTGGTATTTGATTTTGCTCCCTCCTTGGCCTCCCCCGAAATACTTCCACAAGTTGTAACCTGGAATGCTTGCTCTCAGAAGCCAGAACTATGTCAAAAATTCAGATAATTCTGTGATCCGGAGCACAGGTTCATTCTCAGTTGTTGAGGATGGCAGAGCACACTTTTGGCTTTTCTGTACCCAGCAACCTGCCGCACCCTCTTGGAGGTATTTAGCACCTGCATGCAGGATGAGTTAAGGCAATTATTTTAAGCACAGCTTCTAACTTGGGGAGTGTATAACTGAAGGAGGTCTGGAGAGTTTGTATTTGTGTTTTAAGGGACTGAAAGTGAGTCCACCTTTGGTGTCAAGTTCAGCCTTTTTTTTTTTTAAGATCAGCAGTGGTGAAGGGCTTGACTTTGCTTTTGAATCCTGGTTCCGGCAGCTTCTGAGATAATAGTGTATAATTTACAGGAGTTGCTGGGGATTAAAGGGAGTAGTCTGGTGACATTCCTAGAAAGTGGGGGGGGGACGCAGCAAAGTGGCGTCCTGTCCACTAGGTAGGACCATGCTCAGTCATGCCAAGATTGGGGTCTCTATCTGTGCCAGCATTGAGTTAGTGGTCACAGGTACACTCAGCTTTCTGCTGCAGGACACTCGCTACATGCTTTCCTCGTCTGAACTCAGTCTGGGGTCAGGAGCCCAAGCTTCCCCTCTCAGAGCCAGCTTTATTCAGGGGCCTCTGCCACAAAAACCCTCGGCAAGCCGTGAGGATTCCAGGGCCCTCAAAACTGGCAAGGACTTCAGGGAAATCACAGAGTGATTTCTTTACCACATGATTAATCCTGTTTGGGCTGGTCCCGGAAGAGCACTCGTGGGTTAGCGGCTAGCAGCAGTGTTCAGAATCTTACAAAAATTGTCTACCGGACAGGCTTCGGATGAAAGTTCAGAGTGAGGATGGGGCCTGGCAACGGAGGAAGATGCAGGTGTGAGGTTGACAGGCCTCTTTGGAATCACTACCTCCGTGGAGACAGCAAAGGGGGTTGCATTATAATAGTAAATCAGTATGGCACCTGCCCCCGACAGAAGACGCAGCACACCACAATCACCTCCAGTCTGGCTCCCCAATAACAGCTCAGCTCAATGGAGCTACTCATCCATATTCATCATTCTCAGACAAAAACCCTGCAGGCCTCAATCTTGCAGCAGAACAGGCTGCATACAGCTGGCCACAAGGCCATCCCCTTCGGCCACTCCTTTCTTTGCAAGGCCTCTCTTTCTTTAGCCGGGCAGTTTCTAGCATAGCACAAAGATGACTTTTCCTAGACAAGACCAAACAGCAGTTACATCTAGGGGCACTTTGGGAGCTGGCTTAAGAGAGTCGTAGCCTACCCTTGCCAGCCTCTGGCTTTCCTCGGATGTGGTTCGGGTGAGTGAAAAGTCGTGCCATTTACACACCCTGTCTCGCCAAACCGGAAATAAAATTGGAATGCAGAACTGTATATATCGTAGTACAAGGAGAAGTTTCAAAGACAGGACTGCCAGGAATAGCCCAGGGGCCCATAAAGAGTAGCTTCGTGTCTCTGCAGCCGACAGCCCCACCCGGTGCATGCTGTATAATTTCCCTAAGACTAGGAAGGTGTTGTCTGTGGAGAATTATAGAAGCGGAGTCCAGGCCCACCCGTCTCACACAGACCACTTCCCTCACCAGGAAGGCCGGTCTCTAAAGACCACTAGTGTGCTGAGGAGGCTTCAGTCGGTATTCAGTGAGCACCTGTACTTACTTGTCAGGTGATGTTTTGGAACAAGGTTAGAGCTTATATTCCACCAGGGAAACAGACACAACTAAAAACGCAAGGCAAAAAATAGAACAGGGCAGGTACCATCTGGAAGCCCAGGCTGGTTTTGAAAACTCTCATCCCCCTGCCTCTGTTTCCCCCATGCTGAGAGCACTCAGGTGAACATCACTATGCTGGCCTTTTGTACCTTGCTGGGGATGAAACCCAGGGCATCACGCAGGCAAGGGAAGGACTCTGCCAACATTTAGGCTCCATTGGTCTTTTACTAACGCTAATTCAGCCAGTGAGTCCTTGGCCAAGTTCAATACATGACTTCAAACACACTTACACCTCAATGCTCACAGCAGTCCTCCAGGCTAGGAGGTACAGCTTTAGCATGCTGGATGCCCTGGGTTCCATCCATTCCCAGTGCTGGAGAAAAGCAGGAAGGAGGCAGAGAAGACAAGGCTGCTAGGAAGACAGCGGTTTTAGGCTTCCCCTACTCTTCCCCAAGCTGTTCCGCCTGCCTCCCCCCCCGTGTTACCATCCTAATTAGCTAGGCGTCTTCAGGTCTGTCTCCAAGGATGGTACGGACCCCGGAGTTCCAACCTATGTCCCCCTGCCTGTTCTTCTCTTCTTCATTACTCTCATACACTGCTCTTTGGGCCAGTCCAGTCACCATGCCACCCTATACCATTAGCGAGGGTAGGGATGGGGGGGAAGGACGGGACACGTGACATGACACTTTCTGCACCCCTACCACCTGTGGATTCAGACGACTCCCGCCACACTCACTGGCTCTTCCCGGGGACTTGGCCCCATCTGAGCGGCCCCAGCCCTCTCCTGGGCACTCTCAGATCCCAGGCATCCCCCGCCTCCCTCCATCCCCACCGGCAAGTGCTGCTAGTCACTCATGCCGGGGCGCTTACCTCCCTGCGCAAAGTGCCACAGCCACGCGCTCCCCAAAACCCAGAACAACGCTGGCGCCGTCCACATCTTGATCTCTCGGGAGCCTCAGCAGCTAGAGGTTTTTGTGGTTTTGAAAAGATGAAAAAGGCTTCGCAACTACAGACCCAGCCGGGAAGAACTCGGCGGAAGGCTGGAAGGCGGTGAGCAAAAGCCGGAGAGCGCTCCCCACAAAAGGCACGGCAAACTCGGCAGCTGGCAACTTATCCGCGCGCAGTTAGCATTTATGTCTCCCGACAGGGGCGGGAACGGGTGGGCGGGTGGGCGTCAGGTGGTCCCGGCCCAGAGATCTAGGACCGCCCCCCGCCCCCACCCCCGACTCTGTTTGGCCAGCATCACAAGATGACCTCAGGACAGGTTTAAAGTTACAGGGCCTCAGTCACTGGGGCTCAGCTCAGCCCAGATCAAAAAAAAGCTTTTTGATGGTTCCACCACAGCAGAGAGGCCACATGTAGTAAACAGTTTTGCTTTACAATTTTATTTATTTTTCTACTATGTTTATCATTCAGTTTTGAAGGGGAAAGCACAAAAACCTACGTTTTCTTTTTTACTGAGCTAAAGAGAGACTCACACCGTGACCTGTGTGGCTCTTTCTTGGGTTTTAGAACCACACATTGGATTTTTTAAGCTTTTTTGTAAATACTGAATCTGATGTTTTGAAAAAACAATGATGGCTCTTTGGGTGGGTGAGGGGCGGTTCGTGTTAATTTAGCCCTCAAGTAAGGCACTTGGATATGTGGCTGGTAATGCCTCCCCCAACACACACACACACACAGCTGGCCGACAGTGCAATACTTGGCCTTGTGGATACTTGTCTAGGATGGGTACTGGTCTGGGTGGGGCACTTGGCCATGCAGGGTGCTTGGCTCCATAGACTTGCTTTGAAAGGCAGAGGACAAGATACCTCCTGATCTCCTGATACTGGGGACACTGTGGCTTCACCTGGGGATGTGAGCAGCTGTGTCATCTGATTAAGAGTTCCAGCTCATCTATGCTAATCCCAGGGTTTAACCAGTAATCCCCCTTCCTTGTTTAAACAATCTCTCCTTGGTCTCAGGGAGTGGGTATCAGCACTTCTAACCTGTTAGAATTTAAGAGCAGGGTTGGGGAGGTGGTCTTGGCGCCACGCCCAGATGCCATAAATTCCATTCAACAGAAGCATCTCAAGATGGCTGAGGAGATGATGCAGTCACAAAATCTGGTGACCCACACGATGGTGAAAGGAAAGAACTGACCGCAGAGCGGTGCCTCTTCCTCTCTGTCTCTCTGTCTCTGTCTCAGTCTCTGTCTCTGTCTCAGTCTCTGTCTCTCTCTCTGTCTCTCTGTCTCTCTGTCTCTCTGTCTCTCTGTCTCTCTCTCTGTCTCTCTGTCTCTCTGTCTCTCTCTCTCTCTGTCTCTCTGTCTCTCTGTCTCTCTGTCTCTCTGTCTCTCTGTCTCTCTGTCTCTGTCTTTCTCTCTGTCTCTGTCTCAGTCTCTGTCTCTCTGTCTCTCTGTCTCTGTCTTTCTCTCTGTCTCAGTCTCTGTCTCTCTCTCTGTCTCTCTGTCTCTCTGTCTCTCTGTCTCTCTGTCTCTCTGTCTCTCTGTCTCTCTGTCTCTCTCTCTGTCTCTCTGTCTCTCTGTCTCTCTGTCTCTGTCTTTCTCTCTGTCTCTGTCTCAGTCTCTGTCTCTCTGTCTCTCTCTCTGTCTCTCTCTGTCTCTCTGTCTCTCTGTCTCTCTCTCTGTCTCTCTGTCTCTCTCTCTGTCTCTCTGTCTCTCTGTCTCTCTCTCTTTCTCACACACATACACACACAATGTAAAAAATGAAAGTCAGGACTTAAGTATGAAACTCCTCAAAGTGACCCAATGGGTGAGAAAATGGGCTGTTTCATCTTTGACCTGGGTTCCAAACAGACTTCATCTTAAGACGTACAAGAGTAGATTTTAAAAATTACTGTGTGTCAAGACCAGCCTGGTCTACAAGAGCTAGTTCCAGGACAGCCTCCAAAGCCACAGAGAAACCCTATCTCAGGAAAAAAGAAAAAAAGAAAAGAAATTACTGTGTGTACATGCACATGTGTGTGCATGGTGTGTGTGGGCACCCATGTATGTGTGTGAGGTCAGAGGACAGCTCTATCCTGCCTTTACATGGGTTCTGAAGCTCAAACCAGGTTGCCAGGCAAACCCTTTTATCTCCTGTGCCAAGATTATTTTAATAGCAGATGGTGGCTCACACCTTTAGTCCCAGTAAGAGAGGAGAGGCAAACAGATCTCTGCAAGTTCCAGGCCAACCAGGTTTACGGAGTGAGATTCCAGGACAGTCAGGAGACTACACAGAGAAACCCTGTCTCAAAGAAAAAAGAAAGAAAGAAAGAAAAGAAAACAAAAAGAAAAAACAGCCGGACGTTGGTGGCACACGCCTTTAATCCCAGCACTCGGGAGGCAGAGGCAGGTGGATCTCTGTGAGTTCGAGGCCAACCTGGTCTACAGAGCGAGTTCCAGGACAGCCTCCAAACAATACAGAGAAACCCTGTCTCGAAAAACCAAAAAAAAAAAAAAAAAAAGAAAGAAAAAAAAAAAAAAGAAAAACCAGAAAGCTCAGACTCAGCTTCCACCCCACTCACTAATTAATAAGACCTTGTGGGGAAATGCTACTTTAAACCAGTGTCCCTGGAAAACTCGCCCACAGGGTCAGTTATCAAGCTGTACCTTTTAGCAGCGCTTCTGTGTCCAGCACCACGGTGAGAGAGAGGCTGCAGCCCAGCAGCAGCAGGTGTAACTGGGTAGCCAGGAGGTTTTACATGTCTAGGGATTGCTCAAGGGACAGTGGCTTGTCCTGGGGCTGCAAGATAGGAATGAAGTGGATTCTGGAAGTGAGAAACAGAAATCTGCTGGCTGGATTGGTGTTGCAACATCATTTCTTCTGTGTGAGTAATGTGTACCATAGACTGAGTGCCATGCACTCTTAGACAAAGTAACAGAGGCAAACGGGCTCACCTTAGCAACTGAAACATTAACACACAGCTTATATAGGGGGAATTTTAGGGGTAGATTGGGAATCCGGGAAATAAATCCATCCCCTGCTCCTCTCTCGCTATGTCATAGGGATGTGTCTACGTTGTAGAAGGCTGGTCCCCTACCTTCTTGTAGAGGATGGAGAAGGGCGATATAAGTGGAAACAGAATCCTGTCGGGGGCCTGGGGGCAAGGAGAGGACACAGGACTGGAGAAGTCTACAATGGTTCTGCATGTTGTCCTTCTGAATAACCAGGTGTGTGGCTGGGCCCAAGAAGGGTCACAGAAGGACAGAGGTGGGGGGGGGGGCAGTTACATTCCACAACAATGCAAACAGCAAATTGAAGATGCGTTGATCCTGGGCAGAAAGATGCCCAGGAGGGATACACAGCCAGTAAAGCCTCAAAGGTGAAATCCAGCTTGGAGGAGCAGGGGACCACACATGACAAGGCAGGGACAACAGGGACAGACCTGACTACGTGCAGGGGGGGGATGGGGGGAGAGGGGGGGGCTTCCTACTTCTGACACAGCTTGTGTGAAAACTAAGTAAACAAAAGAGGTGGAGGTAGAAAGACAGGCGCCTACCTTGAGATAACCCTCACAGACGCACTGTTTGCAAATCTTACCTTGCAATCTCATCTGACCTTCCAGTGACCTTTGATCTAGGCTCACAGTATTCTAGGAAAACGGCTTAGTACTCATTCACCTGGAGGGCTGCCTAGCACCTCTGTCATTCCAGTCATTCCAAAGTTATCGTTCTTTGAAAGGAGGAGAGCTGGGGTCCCGCGTGGAGACCAACTCTTTAGATCACACCACAAAACACATCAAGTCCCACAGAAAATGGATGGGGAAGGAGGATGTGTCTCTCTGTGGCTGACAGGTCTGGAGCCTATTGCTAATCCTGGGTCTTAAATGAGATAGAAGAAGCTGAGATGACAGAGACAGCATGGGACCCTTTGTCCTGGGGGATGCTAGAGGTTGGTGTTGGGTCTCTGGTACATTCTTTGAGGTCTCTGCCCATCCTGGAGAGGAACTGACTGAACTTTTGCAGGCTGCCTGGGGAGAGAGAATTCTGGGACTGAAACTCTCAAGGGCATGACGCATCTCTGTGACCCCTGAATAGGTCTTTTCTTAGGGCTGGGGCTGGGGCTGTGAATTGACAGACACCTTGGTTTGCTGGAAAGAGCCTGGGGCCACATGAGCCCCAGAGTCTGCATTTTTGTTGTTGTTGTTGTTGTTTTGGTTTTTCAAGACAGGGTTTCTCAGTAGCTATGGAACCAGTCCTGGAACTCGCTCTGTAGACCAGGCTGGCCTCAAACTCACATAGATCCACCTGCTCCTGCCTCCCAAGGGCTGAGATTAAAGGCCTGCACTACCACAACCCGACCAGAGTCTGCATCTGCATTCTTAAAACAAGTGTCATTCCCACTCCAGAGAGCTCTGCATCCAGCTAGGACCTGATCCTGATGGTGGCTGTATCTACTAGGCCCTGATGAGTTCTCAGGCTCTTTCCACCTCTGTTTGTGTCCACCAGGAAACTCAGTCACCAAACACTGGTGTCAGGAGCAGAAGTTTTTAAAATGGCTCTATGGGGACTGGTTTCTTTGACCTAGGGTATGGATCATTACCGAGAACTATGTTAAGCATGGGGATCATTCTCTCTTCTTGGCCATCCTTCACCTGACCCTGGTTTATGAGGTCCTCCCAATCTGCCCAGTCCAAGGGAACTAGATTTATTCCCAGTTCCACCCATGAACTGGTACTCTGCACTGAGACCCCTGCCAGGAAGCCAACTTCTGCTGTCCCGTGAGTGGGGACTGGCTTGAATTCTGACCCACTTCTGTCGTCTAAGTGCCAGGAAGCCCATTGCTTCTGTGAGATCTCCCTGATGCCAACTGCTCCTCTTGCTGTCAAAGTCATCTCATGCCTCCATTCCAGTGGGGTTGCACAACAATTTCACTTTCAGACTCCCCAAAGAATTTTTGAAAAGCTGGGTACCTATTTTACATCACAGAGTTGGATAAGCACAGTCATCCTTCGGTATGTGCGGAGGTGGGTTCCAGGGATGCTATAACCCCCAGATGCTCAAGTCCCTACGGACAATGGGATTTGTTGTGGAATATTATTTTAACTGGGTAAAGGTGTATCACATTTGTTTCTCCTGCTTTTGTTAACCATGCAAAGACATGTTACATTGGTTTGAGTAAATAAAACTAATGGGGAGGGAGGGGTCAGGAGGCTGAATCAG